CTAAAAGAAGGTTACAATAAAAAGAAAGAAAAAATGCAAAAATAAAGTAATAGGAGCTCTGGGTTGAGCCACAACCTATGATGTCACTACCTTATATCAGAGCATGGGTCCAATCCCAGCTGTTCCGCTTCCAAGCCAGGTCTTGCTAATGCACTTGGGATGGCTAAAGAACATGGTGTAAGTACCTGGACTCTTATCACCCATGTGGGAAATTGTTCCTGGCTTCTGCCTGGCTCAGCCCTGGGTGTTGTAGCAATTTGTGGTGTGAACCAGCAGATGAAAAAACTTTCTCTCTGTCTCTTTCTCTCTCCCTCTCATCTGTACCACTATGCTTCTCAAGTAAATAAAATACATCTTGAAAAACAGGCCTGGTATAACAGCTTAGTGACTAAATCCTCGCCTTGCAAGTGCTGGGATCCCATATGGGTGCTGGTTCATGTTCCAACTGCTCTACTTCCTTTCCAGCTCCATGATTGTAGCCTGGGGAAGCAGTACAGGATGGCAGATGGCCCAAAGCCTTGGGACGCTGCACAACCATGGGAGACCTGCAGGAGGCTCCTGTTTCCTCACTACTGATCAGCTAGGCTGTGGCCATTAAGGCCACTTGGGGAGTAGGGCAGCAAATGGAAGATCGTTCTCTCTGTCCTCTCTGTAGATCTGCCTTTACAATAAATAAATAAATAAAGATTAAAAAATACATCAAATAAGTAGGAATTGTGTCATTTTCTGTCAGAGAGATGAGATTAAGTCATTATCTGCTCATAAAAGAAACTATAAACAAGCATACAGATACAGCAGTCAAAACACATAAAATCTAATCACACAGTCCTAAAATACATAAAACCACAGAACTGTAGAGATACATATTTACATCTGAAGACTTTCCTTTTTAAAAAAAGATTTGTTTTTATTGGAAAGACAGATTTACAGAGAGAAAGACCTTCCATCCATTTGTTCATTCCCCAATTGGCTAAAATAGCCGGAGCTGAGCTGTCTGAAGCCAGGAGCCAGGAACTTCTTTTAAGTCTCCCACATAGATGCAGGGTCCCAAGAACTTGGGCTATCCTTTGCTGCTTTCCCAGGTTAATCAGCAAGGAGCTGATGGGATACAAACCAGCACACACATGGGATCCTGGTGTTTGCAAGGTGAGGATTAGACAATTGAGCTAATATGCCAGGCCCTGCATCTGAAGACTTTAAGTTACTCCTCTCAGAAACTGAAACATTGAATAGTGTAATTGCTATATTTCAGTGTTCATCTTATCTAAGAAGAGTAGACTCTACGAGGGTTAATGGTACAGTGAATTTGAAAAGTGAAATTATGGGACCTGGCACAGTGGCCTAGCAGCTGAAGTCCTTGTCTTGACCACACTGGGGTCCCATATGGGTGCTGGTTCTAATCCCGACAGCCCCACTTCCCCTCCAGCTCCCTGTTTGTGGCCTAGGAAAGCAGTCGAGGATGCCCCAAACCCTTGGGACCCTGCACCCGTGTGGGAGACCTGGAGGAAGTTCTTGGATCCTGGCTTCAGATCAGCGCAGCACCAGCCGTTGTGGTCACTTGGGGAGTGAATCATCAGACAGAAGATCTTCCTCTCTGTCTCTCCTCCTCTCTGTATATTTGACTTTGCAATAAATAAATAAATAAATCTTTTAAAAAGTAAAATTATAACGGAAATATTGGGGATTATTACAGTTTATGACTGAAGATAAGGGAAAAGCAAAACTGCAAAAACTGTGAAATATAACACAAATATATCACTGGATACAGCAACATCAAAATCAAGGATTTCTAGTCAACACCGGATACTGTGCACAAGGTAACTAGTTAAGAGAATGAAATGCTTAATGTGGATAGAACTCTCTCTGTGACTTTACTTCTCTCTGCAACTTTGCCTTTCAAACAAAAATAAATAATTTTTATAAAAGAATAAGAGAAATGTGAGAGCAGTCAATCCATATGCATCCTTATTATGCCAAAATTTTGCATGAACTCTTTTGTCTGGTGATACTGAATGTCAACTGGCACAGCAACTTTCTGACTAATCAGGACAGACACAGGTGGCAAACAATTCCCATACCAAACTGGCATCCTTAAAATACAAGTGTCGCAGCAAACCAACCCTCCAGTTCCAAGAGAAAATGCTCTTTTCACACAGCAGACTTTTTTTTTTTCATTTTAAATATTTACTTATTTTTATTGGAAAGGCAGATCTACAGAGAGAAGGAAAGACAGAGAGAAAGATTTCCCAACCACTGGTTCACTCCCCAAGTGGTCATGAGCCTGGAGCTTCTTCCACTTCTGCCACAAGGGTACAGGGTCCCAAGGCTTCAAATGATCCTACACTGCTTTTCCAGGCCACATGCAGGAAACTGGAAGGGACAAGAACTGGAGTCCGTATGGATTCCACTACTTACAAGAGAGAGATTAGCCAATTAGGCGATTGTGCTGAGCTCCACAGATTCTTAACCTATGGAAAAGGTTATAAAGTCAAGTGTCCCAAGCCAGATTCTGCACCAGGCACCAGCCTACAGGAAGGGAGGATGCAGTTTTGCTGCTATGCTGACCTCACCACCCCAATTCCTATTGTCTGGATGCGCGGCTTGGGCTGTGAAATTGCTCCACACATCACCTTCTCCTTCAGACAGGTTCTTAAGCAATTTTAAAAGGTTATTATTTATTTGAAAGCCAGAGTTACAGAGAGATGGGAAAGACAGAAAAAAAAGTCTTCCATCTGCTGTTTCACTCCTGAAGTGATAACAATGGTCAGGCTAAAACCAGGCTAGAAGCTTCTTCCAAGTCTCCCATGTGGGTGCAGGGGCCCAAGCATCTGAGTCACATTCTGTTACTTTTCCAAGGCACATTATCAGGACGCTGTATCAAAAGTGGAGCAGCTGGGACACGAATCAGTGCCTATATGGGATGTTGGCATCATAGACAGCTAACCCAAAATGTCAGTGCCCCACACTTGAGCATTTTTTTTTTTATCAAACAGTCAGATTTACAGAGAAAGACAAATAGAAAAATATTCTATCTGCTGGTTCACTCCCCAACTGGTTGCAACAGCCAGAGCTGAGCCACTCTGAACCAGGAGCTGAGAGCTTTTTCCGGGTCTCTCACACAGATGCAGGACCCCAAGGCTTTGGGTCATTCTCTACTGCTTTCTCATGCCACAAGCAGAGACCTGGATGGGAGGTAGAACAGCCAGGACATGAACTGGCACCCGTATGGGATCCCAGTGGATGCAAGCTGAGGATTCAGCTAATTGAGCCAGGCACACTCAAGAATTTTTAAAGATCTGGCTTAGAGGTCATTTCCTTGATGGAACTTTCTGAGATCACCAGGCAAGGTTTTGCTTATTGTATCATTAATTTTTCCTGAGCATCTACATTATTCCAGATTCACAGGGGTAGCCCTACGTTGTCATTTACTGAATTGTGTAATGCTGAGTCTGCCTCTCTCACTCCTGAATGTAATTTAAAAAGAAATATAATTCTAAGGGTATTTTTTCCATAGGAAATGATGCCTGATATGCATTCCTGGTAATACCCAGGATTCAGTCACTCATCCAACAGCCTGGGGCAGTGGAAGGCTAAGTTTTGGAAGTAGAAGGACTTGAGTTCAGCCACTTGACCCCATCCTTTACTGTTTTGACACTGAGCCAGTGACTTGCCTGCTCTGAACAGTTTGTACATCTGTAAAACAAAGATAACAGTGACATCTTTTATAATGGTTAAAATGGTGTATAAGTACCACATAATTATGGGAAAGCACATTCTAATCTGGAAAGAACTCCAGAATGTACATGATAATGACATTGTGGGAAGGTGGCACAAAAAAGATAATTATAAAACCAGCAAACGAGTAACGACTCTTCAAAAATTAGGGCACAAAACAGCAGAAAAGAAGAAGAACCTTCACAAAGTTTTTTTCCTTACAATGAAGGGGAAGGCTGATTTTATTTCTTAAGGGCTTGATACACCTACCAGGAAAAAACATGGTACAACCATCAGTGCTGCTCAAAAACAATAGCACAGAAACTTGAACAGAGTTAGAACCTTAGGTATATGGGGATTATCTGAAAATGAAGATGAAGTTTGTATGACAACTTATTTCACAAGCACCCCAATAATGATAGTAGTTACAGGTACTATTTTTGACTGCATATGCACACATACTGTGGCAGTTTATATACATGAATCTCAGGGGTTTCCTGAACCAGCAAGCCCCTGAAATCAGTGAGAGGTGAGGCAACAGTGTTCAGCAGCAAGAATCATCTGAAACAGTCTGGTTGAGCATCATGTCCTTTTATTAAGAAGCAAGCACAAACTTATACAGACTAAGAAAGGGGGAAGGCAGAAGGGCATCTCCCGGCAGTCCTCCCAACCAACAAAGACACAGTAATTGGCTAGAAGGCATGTCCATCTCTCTGGACCCTCCAGTCACGTAGTAAGTCATGTACAACATACACGGCTGGCAGGTATGTCACAGATCACGTTCACAACGTGTGGCTGTGGGTTACGTACAACACATAAGCTGACACGTAACAAGGACCGCACCTGACTTCTCAGAGTTGATTATCAAGGAAGTCTCAGCACAGCTGTCCAAGGACAAAAGAGAAACTGGGATGAGGCCTACCATACTCGTCTGCATAGCCAGTGATTTGGTCAAGTTGAGGTCTTTGTGACCCAAGACCATTGTTAGAGGTTCCCAGTGTGCCTCATCCCTATGACCTCCCACATGGGCACAGAAATTCAGGGGTGATCTCCCACATACAGGCTCATACAAATCTGTAACAACCTTGTAAAACAGAAGCGATCACTCCCTTTCCACCAATAAGGAAACAGAAGCCCAAGGAAGCCCCATCATTTTGTGATGAGCCCTTCACAAAACCATGCTGAGCAAAGAAGGTGGGATAGAAATACAAACTCAAAGTTTATTCAGATACAGTAGGTTATTTTGCTTCCTGAATTCTGTCTCCTTTGGAAACATTTCTTCCCAGTTACAGTTCGTCCTTCTGGTCAACCATGACATTTTTGTTTTCATGCAGAAATATTTCTCCAGTGTCTCCTTCTGGCATCGGCCTATCATTTTCTGGTTCCTCTTCTAGATCCTCTTCATCTTCCTCTTTTTCAAGTCCCCAGATGTCCTCTTTTTCTTCCTGTTCCTTTTCCTTTTTCTTCTTAGCTTCTTCTTCCTGTTTCTGTTTTTCGATTTCTTCATACAATTCTCTCCATTGTTTCTCTATGTCCTGTTTAGGATATGGAATTTCAAAAATGATTTAATAATGGTACAAAGAAAGTTACCCCACTTTAGAAATGTCTGGCCTTTTCCATGATGGATTCTGGAATGTTGCTTACTTACAAACATTTTAAGTATGTGTGGAGTGACAGAAATGTGTGTGTGTAATTTGTTCACAAATAAAACTGTTTTCAATGCAACATTTATTGAATGCTTATTGCATTGCTAAACACAGCACAGGGCAATCTGCACACATTATTGTGTTCCTCACAGCAATACACGGGTGAAGTGTTGCTCATTTCATCTGTCAGATGAGGCATGGGGGGTTTGGACTTCTTTTTGGTCTTTTGAAGGTCTCCCCAAACTGAACAGAAACCCCAAGCATGTGGAAATTTCTCTTTAGTTCACTGCTATATTTTCAGTGACTACAGTGCTCTGAAGCAGGCCCTCCACACATACTTGGAAGCAAATGTATTGTTAGTGGTAGTAGCTACCATGTTCAGGAACACATACTCTATGCCAGGAAAGTATAAGGTAGTTTCCATCAGTATTCCCGATTTACAGGTAAAGAGAGGTTCAATATCTTAGCCAAGTTCACATGGTTAGTAAAGAGCATAGCCTGGGACCAGCACTGTGGTACAGTGTATTATGCTACCACCTGTGATGCCAGCATCTCCTAAGAGTGCCAGTTTGAGTCCTGGCTGCTCTATTGATGATTCGGCTCCTTGCTAATGTGCCTAGAAAAGCATCAGAAGATGAGCAGAGTACTTGGGCCCTGCCACCCATGTGAAAGACCCAAATGGAGTTCTAGGTTCCTAGCTTCAACCTGGCCCAGCCTCACCCTAAGCTCATATTTGTATGTGATATGTGGTAGTGCCTCCACAAAACAGTGGATAATTAGATGATAATTCCATAGTGAAACAAGACAGATTCAGGCTAAAAAGTATTTGTAAACATGACAAAGTTTTCCCATGACTCCAGTGCTGTTTTGGAAACCTCATGTATTAAAGTTCTCCCCGAAGCATTTTTTGTAATGCTTGTTCTTTGCTGCTTTTCTTACCATAAGCTTAATTTGCCTAATTGGATCATCAAGCAGTAATCACAAGCCTGCTTAGATAAGCATGCAGAATGAGGTCTGGAGGAATGATGTCAGGACCATGAGGCCGTTGCCCTGAGTATCACTCCACCCATGGAGTAGTCCGGGGAGGGCAGGGAAGCTGGCAGACAGCAGCTGCCTCCGTCTTCCTTCTTCCCAGATGGCTCTCAAAAGTGTGCTTGGGGGCTCCCTCCTAGGTGACCACACTGTGCACAGACAGTGTACAACATGAGAGGAGCATGAGTTCTGGGTTTAAATTCTCGCTCAAGGGGCTGGAGTCATGGTGTAATCTAAGCAATCTAAGCTTCCATCTGCAGTTTCTGCATGCCATATGGGTGCCTGTTTGAATCCTGGCTGTTTCACTTCTGATTCAGCTGCCTGTTTATGGCCTGGGAAAGCAGCAGAGGATGGCCCAAAGCCTTGGGCCCCTGCACCCATGTGAGAGACTCCAGAAGAAATTCCTGGCTTCCAGCTTTAAATCAACTCAGCCATGACCATTACAGCCACTGGGGAGTGAACAAGCAGATGGAAAATTCTTTGCCTCTGTCTTTCCATCTATATATACTTTAATTCTGGCTCAACAAGTTAAAGGCTGTGTACAGCCCTGGGCAGTGTATACTCTGAATGTCAGTTCCTACATCTGAACAAAGGGTCAAATGCCAAGTGCCTTGCAAAAGTAGAAAGTGCTCACAGAGTTACAGGCACCAACTTGTGGCTGTGGAGTGAATGGGAATCACAGCAAGAGAGCAGAGACCAGTAACTGCAAAGTTATTTTGTAAATGACTCATAACAAAGCTCAGCAGAGAAGGAAGACATCCAGAACCCCAGGGCAGGGAACATCTTACTTTTCTTCGTCCCCAGGTATTATTTCCCACTTCCTCTGCAAACTCTTCATCGTTTGTTAGAAGAAAATTGTCAAAGATGCTGCCTGATTTCACCTGTGAAAATGAAAACAATGAAATGATTAGAACCACCTACTGATATGTTGAAGGGCTTAAAAATCACCAGGGAGTTCTTGATGCACACAGATTTGCTGGGCACAGGTCTCCATAAGGAGAGCTAGAAGAGGAAATACAAAGACTGTTGACCATATAAAGGGCCCTGGGATGCCCTAGCTGACCCACTCTAGAAAGAATTCAAAGATGGTTTCTTAAGGTTCTGGGTTCCTCAGCCTCTGAACAGTATTTTTGAGGTTTTTTTTTTTTTTAAAGATTTATTTTATTGCTATTGCAAAGTCAGATATACAGAGAGGAGGAGAGACAGAGAGGAAGATCTTCCATCCGATGATTCACTCCCCAAGTGAGTGCAACGGCCGATGTTGCGCTGATCTGTAGCCAGGAGCCAGGAACCTCCTCCAGATCTCCCACGCAGGTGCAGGGTCCCAAAGCTTTGGGCTGTCCTCAACTGCTTTGCCCAGGCACAAGCAGGGAGCTGGATGGGAAGTGGGGCTGTCGGAATTAGAATCAGCGCCCACATGGGATCCTGGTGCAGTCAATGAGAGGTCTTTAGCTGCTAGGCCACTCTGCCAGGTCCTATTTTTGAGTTTTGTGATGAAACTCTGCTAGTGTCCAAACAGACAACTGGTGGCTTTTATCCCCGCTGAGGACAGTGCCTACCTCCTATGATGCTTCTTTTCAGATGCCCTTTTAGGGATTATCTCCTTAATGTAACCAGAAAAGCTAAAAGGACAGTGGAGGAACAAAAGATTTGACCAGACATACAAGCAAAAGATATATTCTCTACCATTTAGAATGCCCTGTTTCTGTTTTCTTAAAAATAACATTTCTTAAAAATAACATTAATGAAATCCATAGTAATGTGTCTTCAGTATTCATTTCTCAATTACTACTTTATTTATTTATTTGAAAGACAGAGAGCTAGACACCAACACAGAGAGATCTTTGGTGTGTCAATTCACTCCCCAAATGGCCAAGGCAGCCAGGGTTGGGTCAGGCCTCAGCAAGGAGCCAGAAACTGAATTTGGATCTTCATATGGGTAGCGATGACCCAAAAACTTGAACTGTCACCTGCCACCGTCCAGGGTGTGCTCTAACAGGAAGCTGGAAATGATGGTGGGGCCAGGACTCGAACCTAGGCACTTCGACACAGAATGTAGATGTCCCAAGCAGTGGCAAAACCCCACACTTTCAGTGTTCCAAATCATGGCCTCAGAAATAGTAGCTCCATGAGCTGTGTGACCATGGGCAAGTTGCTCAACCCCTCTGAGCCTCTTCCCTCATAAAAAAAAAAAAACAAAGAAAATGATCACCTCCTGGCAGGAGTGTCAATAGAATTACAGAAACTAAATACAACACATGGTCTGATAGTTAGTAGTTGCTCAATACTATCAGGTTAAGCTTTCAGAATCTGCATATGTTTGAGAAGGAGAAAAAAAAGACTTTATGCATCTTTTTGCTTTAGCAATGAGTTAACTAAGTCAGCACACTAATTTTGTGAAGCTTGTGACCAAAAAAATGTCTGAAACCTGAAGTTGCATGTCACCCTCCACAGGCTGTGAAAAAGCCCCTGTTTGCTTTTTTTCGGTTCAAATAAATAAATAGTTTTTAAAAATAACTAAAGCTTTTATTTGGCTCACATCAACCCTACCTCCAACAGAAAAGCAAATGACAAAATTGACATTCTTTTGCTCTCATTTTTTAAAATTGGCTTTTAAAACTCTTTGTACAAGTTTAAGATATTTTCCTACCCCTGGGATTTTTTTTTCTACTAAATTACAGCAATTTCGCCTAGAAAAAACTGCCTGTTTGATGAGTTCCTGTATTTTCCACACTTGCAAGATAAAGGTTCTTCATCTGCCCTATTCTCTTCAGTGACGCTTCGCCTGGCACCCTTACAGGAAACTCATGGGTCACATGGGAGCCAGCTTACTACCTAAAGCCCACTGGTGGGGTGGCCTGGCTCTTTGCTTACAGGCCTTTGTTTGCAAAATGGCAAAATGAAAGAAAACACAGCTTCCCTGCTTTTTGTAGTCAGTTGTCAGAAGAAAGCAACACATGAAAACGAGCTCTGTTAGGCTGCGCGAAACCTGAATGAGATCCTGAGGGCAAATGAGAGTCAGTGCCCTGGAAATGACCGGTTTCTGGCATTGCCCCATTCACCTCACCTAACGGAACATGTGTGGGCTTGAGGATTTATGGTTGTGGTGCTGCAAAAGTCAGGTCACCTCTCTGAGCCAGTTTTCTCATCAGTCATATGGGGATGGGAGGCTGGGGCCCAGAACATTTGATGGAAGGGACATGAACAGGCTTTGCCCTGTGGCCCTTGCAGTTTGTGCCATAGCTCCTTCAGAGACCATAAGGGGGTCCAAAGATTTGTTCTCTGTCATCTCCTTCCAGCCTCTACTCCTCGTGCCGACCAGGGCAAGAAAGCTCAAGCCACTGTGTTTGAAGATGTGAGAACAGGGAATGCGGGGGGCGGGGGAGGGGGAGGAGATGGCCAGGGAGTAGGCACGGCAAGGTGACTGAGCAGAGGAGTGACAGAGATGGCAGCATCTAAAAGGCTGGAAAGCAGCCATGGGCACAGGGAGGGCAAGACAGGCAAACATTCCCACCTATCTCCTGGCCAACTGTTGCTTGACTTTTCCAATGATGTGTAAGGGATGAACAGTAAACTGGATGTTCCCGGTTCCCACTGACTGAGTGAGAAGGGTAGAGCTGGACCTGTGAGTGCCAGAGCCAACGAGAAATGAGAGGGAGGGAAAGTGGGCTCAAGCAGAATTCTAACACCTCTCTCTCTCTCTCTCACACACACACACATACACATACACATTCCAACTCACATTTCAACACCTTTCCCTCAAAAAGACAAAAAAAAAAAAAATTCCACAAGATAGATTCACACCACAGATTTGGAGATCTGAGCTTCCTCCCAATCCAGCTGGATCATTTTTTTTAAATTCCACAGGGATTCACAAGCATGTGCAAGTTGGAGGAGCATGGTTTAAATTCTTCCAATAGAAAGGATTACCACTTGAGAGGGGTTGATCAAACCCAGAACAATGAGTGTCAAATACTTTTAAATTTTGTAGATGTGCAAAAATACAGTTTAAAATGTGTATCGCAATGTCTTCAGTGGTGGGGTTGGACAGGAGAGCATTTTAAGGAAACATATTTTAAGATTAAGCAAATTAATATGATCACACATTTATCAAGCTGTTCTACAGAAAAAGGGATGACTAGGGGCACATGTTTAGCCCTGCAGGAAAGATGTTGGTTAGGATGCCTGTATCCCATATGCTAGAGTGCCAGGGTTCTAGCCCTGTTTCCTGAACCCAGCTTCCTGTCAACACAGATTCTGGGATGCTGTAGGGACGACTCAAGTAAATGGATTCCTGCCACTCATACAGGGAAAGTTGCACTGAATTTCTGGCTTCTGGCTTTGGCCCCATAAAGGCAGCCATGGCAGCAGATGAGAGCTTTGTCTAGTTCTCAAATAAACAACAACAACAAAAAGGAATGGAGGACAACTGAACACAAAAGAGGTAGTGATGGAAACTGTATTCTTCAGGGAGGAAAGAAAGAAGGACAGAGGATATAAGATGTGTGTCTGCCTCCTTCCCTCCTTCAGTCCCCTCTTTCTTCCTTCTCTCCTGAACCCCTAGCTGGTAACTTACACACTTGGCCTCCTTACACTCCCCTACGTTGGGCCCCTTGAGCCAGGAAACTAAGAAAATGGAAAGCAGGAGATCCAAAGTAAGTAGGGGGAGTCTGCTCCAGGGACTCTGGCAGCTGGGAACTGTGGAAATCACAGGTCAGAGACAGCGGTCTCCATGGCTACAGGACCTGCCAGCATACAAGTGGCCATGGCCACCAGAGATCTTGTAGTGTAATGGGTGTAGTCATCATCCCAGCCAGGGTTTCGAGGCCGACAGACCACTGAGTGAATCCTGCGTCTACTATGTGCCAGCTCTGTACCCTTGGGCATATCCTGTGACATTTTTGAGTCTCAGGTCTCTGATGTGAGAAGTAGTAATATGGAATAATCCGGGACAGCTCAGAGAGCTGTGAGAATTAAGAGAACTACATGTAAAGCCTAGTGATGAACAAACCCAAGTTCTTTTCTTCTCCAGGGTAATCCTCTTCCAGGACTGTGTAGACCACAGCTTCTGCAGGCCTCCAGTGCGCAGGGCTTCCCGCTGGGGCCTGAGCTGGGGCTCTTCTCTTTCTGAGTTGGGGAAGAATCCTCCCCTCACCAACCACACCTCCTTCAGTAACAAAGCTCCAGGAGAAAGAACCAGAGGTTGGGGTGGAGGACAATTATTCAAAGACCTAAGTGAGCCTCGTCTTTCCTATTCATTCGGGAGGAAAGATGATACGCAGGAAGGGAGGAGCTGGACCAGGTCCTGTCTTCACAGCTGGGAGAATGACCTCTAACACCTGTCTGAGGGTTTCGATATTTCTGTATATTCACCAAAACACCCACTAAGGGTCATGCAGGACCAGCAGAGGCAGACCAAGCTACTGGAGTACTAGAAAGATTTGTGCTCAGCTCCTGACTTTTGCTTACCTTACCAGATGTGTGTCTTCAGGCACATAACCAGCCTTCTCTGAGCCTCCTCATTACATTGGAGAATAAGAGATTTCACAGTGAAAATTAAATGACAAATGCACAGGCTTTAACACAGGACTTAGTCTATGGTAGTGACTCAGTAAGCAGCAGCTGTTCTAATTATTAGGATGGATGTAATTACTCCCATTTTACAGATGAGCAGTTTGAGACTTAGTAAGATCAAGAGACACTTAAAGTCTCCTGATGTCCAACCTGGAACTCTTTACACTTTGTAGAAACACCACCAGCTTATTGAGGAAGGGCTCTGAGTCCAGGGAGCTTTACCTGCCACAGGTCCAGGCCGAGGACGCTGATGTTGTAATAGTGACAAATGGTAGGGTCAGGCTTGTATTCAGGGTTGTCTATTTCTGGATGAATCCATTCCCCTTGGTAATTGGGGTTGTCAATGATCCGGGGTTTCCATTCCCCCTAAAGCAAAGAACCAGAATGAACATGACATTAACAATTTCACCACTCTTCTGATCTCATATAATCCTTCATTAGTTCTTATATTTAAGTACATTGCACTTAAAAGTTCAGAGTTAAGATCCTAGGAACTTCCTTCCTTTTCTTTAATGCAAGATGCTGATGAGACCCCTTTTCTACCCAGAGGGAGCCAAATGTGGTGGCTTCTGACCCTGAGCCTAGGTCTCTGCACAAGCTCATTCATGAAGTTAAGGAAAAGCAGCTTCTCAGAGAAAATTCTCTTAGTATCCTGTGCTTGGGACCCTTGTCCTTCTGGTACATAGCAAAGGACATAAGGGCCACGTAAAGTATGCTTACTTCAGTCAATTTTACCACTGTAGCATTAGCTGATCCCCCGTTCTTCTTGCCTTCTGAAATGAGGTCAGGTGTTAGTCCTTCTAAAAGTTGTCCTGCCCCCAACACGTTTGGCTCTTGTCCTAACCTTGTCTCTTCAGGCCAACTTCAGAGCCTTCTAGTCCGTGAACTGAGACCCACTTCCTGTTTCGATCCTGTCCCTTTGGATGCTTTCTAGCACCCTGGGCTAGAAAATTCTTGGTGCCCAAGGTTGCCTGAACTGCTCCCTTCAGTGTTGGCTTCAGTAGCCCTCTCGCTCCCAACTAGACTCCTCCCTGAGAGCAGAAGATGACCACAAGATCTCAGAGTTTCTGCTTCATGCATTTGGACTGACCTCTCTGTCCACCTTCTCACACTCCCAGGAAATTGAAGCTCCTCACCTTGTATTTCACGTTCGGTATCAGGGGCCCTTCCCACTCCCCATCCATGGCTTCGTTCCAGTCAGCGGGCTTCTTGGCCTCTGGGTCTGGGATGTACTCAGAGTCTTCCCAGTCCTAAAATGAAAAAGCCCCTTCTTGAGGACTGGGATAACACTCAGGTTCAGAGTGCAGGCTGGTTAGATCTGGTATGCCACCCATTCCATCCTGCTCTCGCCTGTATAAAAGCCAGCCTTTAAACTGCCCACAAACCCAGTGCAGGACAGCAAAACGCCTCTGAGCATCTGTAGCTCTTCCCCTGGCTTCACCATTGCTCCCATGTTTTCCCACCTTCCTTCTTCCCCCAGCAACATGCCCTGCCATGGTTGGAATGTGGTCTGCTTCTGCAAGAAATTAGTTGCCAGTGTAAATTGAGAGCTATTTCTGTTCCCGAGAAAATAAGCTGGACAGAACTCAATGGTCTTATAGGTTCCCCACCTTCAGAATCCTAACTCTGCTTTAGGAAGTGCCAAACACCTGAGACAAATACTGTGTCCCATCCTTGGGCCTGTGGTCTGGATGAAGTTCACACTCAGCTGACCGGTGTCTGTCTTCACTTGGTCCTTTCAGTGAAGGAACACTGAAGCCTGCAGCCCCTTGAGGCATCAGAAAGGGAGGTTCTGTGGTTAGTCTTGCTGCCCTGAGCCTAAGGCAGGAACCTTAACTCCCTATCTTCCCGTGCTGCTGAAGGCCCACATACTTCACCTGGTTATCTGCCTTAACTTCTTGAGGAAAACTCTCACTCCTTGGAGATGGAGTTCTTTTGCAGAATTTTCCTACACATGGCTGTGCTGCTGTTCATCACTACATTGGCCTCTTCTTGGAGACTGGACTCAGCTACTGGGTTTCCTCGCCATCTGTTGCCTGTTGCCAAGCATCCCCTCTGCCTGAGGCTGACCTTGCTCTGACCCGAGGACTAGTAACATGGCACACTGAGACCCTTGATTCCAACAGACATTTCCAGCCTCATTTTCCATTGGGCCCCACTTTGAACTTCACACTTCCTAACAGCTGAGCAGCTTTTACACAGCCATATTATTTTCCACTTAACTATTGGGCCGTTATTTCTGTTGTTCCATGGGTCTGGAAGATCTTCCCTTCAATCCATTTTTTTCTTTTTAAAATAAATAAATTAATAGATTTATTTGAAAGGCAAGGTTACACAGAGAGGAAGAGACAGAGAGAGAAACCTTCCATCCATGGATTTGCTTCCCAAGTAGCTGCAACAACCTGAGAGAAAGCAGGTGGAAGCCAGAAGCCAGGAGCTTCTTCTAGGTCTCCCATGTGAGTGCATGGACCCAAGGACCTGGCTCATCTCCTGCTGATTTCCCAGATACATCAGCAGGGAGTGGAATTGGAAGTGAGTACCTGGCCTCTAAATGGCACCTATATGAAATGCCAATGCTACAGGAGGTGACTTTACACACTGTTCTACAGTGCCAAACTCTTAACCCACTTTTCTTACTCTAATGAGTTCACTATTTTATATAACTAAATACTGTTAGCATAGTAAGATCATATATTAAGAACTTACTATATAGTTTGTGTTTCGTGCTAGGTTATTTATTCTTCATGACAACCTTTATACATAGGTATTATGACATCTGTTTACAAAACTGGTTTTAACAGAAGTCAATTATTCCCTAATTATTGACAAGTTGGATAGTCACAGTAAATATTGGAGCCCAGGGACCAGCACTGTGATGCAGTACGTGTCATCACTGCTGGCAACAACAGCATCCCTTGAAGTGCCCTTTCTGGTCCCAGTTACTCTGCTACTGATCCTATGAAGACTGCAGATGATGGCACAAGTACTTAGCTTCCTGTGACCGATGTGGCAGAACAAGATGGAATTTCTGGCTCCTGGCTTTGGTCTGGGCCAGAACTTGTCTTTTGGAGGGTGAGTCATCTTTGTCTCTCCCTATCACTCTGCCTTCCAGGTAAATAGATGAATTTTAATTACAGTACTCTGGAGCTCAGCCACTCAGCCTTGTGTCTGTCTCTCAATTTGTCCTTGGGTATGCCAATCACTCAAGCATTACTTCCTCTTTCCCAGGCCTGTTTCCCATCCCAGGACGGAGCCTCTCCTAGGCTCTTCAAGCCTTTGGCTCCCCTGGCTCTCCACAATGACTGCACAAGGACGTTTCTTGGTTTCTTGTAGGCCCCGGTCTCCCAAGAGTTAACTCCACAGCTTAGCTTGTTTTTCAACGTGTAACAGGGTGGGCAATCTTGGTCTGATACATTTAGCCCCTGACTTGACTGCAAGTTCCCTCCTTCCTGCTGCCCCTTTTTACATGCCCTCAGGGGAGCTTAAGTGTTGCTTGAGCATTGGGAAAGTGCTGGGAGGGGCCATGCAGACTATAAAGATGCAGCTTGACTTTGAATAAACGGGCCTTCTCTTCACAAGGATGAGCCACTGTGTGTTGTCTGTTTTGTCTGTCTCACAACCCTAGTCCCTCCACTCGGCTCGGGGTACGCGGCGACGTGGGCGTTGCCAACAGTTTCTTACCTGCCTCCCCCTCTAGACTGAGTCCTTGGAGGCAAGGATCTCACATCTCTGTCCAGGATAGCTTTCCAAAATATAATAAATACATTGTGCTCATTCCCCATATCAGTAACTTGGGAGTCAGACAAATGTGTTTTCAAATCATGGTTCTAACATGTGTGTGCTTGGGTGAGGCACTTCCTTCTCTGAGCAACACCCTGCCCACAGAGGCTGCCAGAAGGTTCGACAGGTCCTCAGCAGATGTGAGCCGCTGTTCTCCTGGGACCTTTGGATACCAATATCCAATTGCACACCTCCTTGAGGAATCGATGCCCCTAGTCTTTGTTTCATAGAGTCTAGCCTCCTCCTCTTTTCCCCACTGTGGAAGATTCTGTCAATTTCCCAGCCAAACCCTCTGACCTCAGGCTTCTTATCTTCAGGATCCTCTATTTGCAGGCGCTCATCCCATTTCCTTGGCTTCCGGGCATAGGGGTCTTTGATTTTTCTAGGAGGCAAGAAGTCCCAGTCATCCTCCAGTTGCCCAGCTGCAACTTGCTGGTTGTCAATTTTTACTTCATATGTAGCATTGGGGCGAATTATCAGTGTGTATAGATGAGTGTCTTTATTGATCTATGAAGGAAAGGTGGAGATAGTTTATTTCCACATTGGACTTCTTTAGACTTAAAGCTCCAAGTGACCACAGCACCCATTCCCTTGAAGGCACCCCTACAATATTTACTTTGACCATGCCCCTCAGTCCATTTCTCTGGTTAACTCTACAGGGATTCTGAGTTTTACTCTCCTCATCTATACTCCTCTGGTCTCCCTGAGCCACCAGCCTTCTTACCCCTGCACCTCTGTTCAGTCTATGATCTTATCTGTTTTTCTGTCTGGCCCCCTTGGCTGCGAGGATCATATCAACAGTTGGGCCCACAGCTTCTATCACAAGGCATGCCCAAGGGTACTTCGGGGAGCCTCTACACATGTAGTCCATGTACAGTCTTGTTAAGGAGGATCCTGGGTCTGAACACAAGTTCTCCAATGACCCAAGCCCTATGGGATACTCTAGACTTGCTTTCTGCCTCTCCCCATGTGCTCTAGCTGTACCAAATCACTTCCTTTGCCCTTATTTCTCAAATTGCCTTGACTTTTCTCATAGAATTATCTTTTCCAGGATTTCAGTTTTTGAAATTTTGTGCCTCCTGCTAGGATCAAGTCATGTTTATGTTCTGAAGTTCAGCACAGAGAAACCTCTGGGATAGGCTTCCAAGGGGAACCTCCTGTTTCCCTACAAACCCCAATCATACTAGGCAGTCATTTTGCTTTGCTTGATTCTTACCTCCAGCTGACTGTGAATTCTATAAGGTGGGAGGCCATGTCTGGCTCACTCTGTCCCTAGCCCAAGGCCCAGCATGGATTTAGAATTGAGTTAATGCTCATCTGGTTTCAGATGAAATCCATCCACTATCAATTAATGAGCCAACTTGATGTTGCTAAAATGCACTTGTCCTTCCACCACCCATTGCTAAGCCCAGCACTCTCACCTCCCATGTCTGCTCCAATACTCAGCAGTGGAGAACTAGCCAAGACAGAACCTTAGGTGGCTTGCTCTAGCTTTTTGGCTTAATGGTTCCTTTGCAAATTCCTACAATTTACAGTACTTTTCTAAGTCTACTTTCTAACCTGTAAAATGGAGGCATTGGTATTTAATTTATAGGCTTCTGCAAGGATTACATGAATTAACATAAATAAAACATTCATGCTTCCCCCTGGAGTTAGAACCAGCCCACGCACTCACCCTGCACTTGATGGTCTTGTTGTTCTCATGGTATTTCCCTTGGTAATGGAGGATGACCTGTACTTTGTTGTTGCCAAAGCCGCAAATGTCAGGGCCTGGAAATTAAACCCCAAAGCATAATTTCACATCTCTTTTAGGCAGTTTGCCCAGTTTGAGGTCAGGACCTAGGACAGACACTGCCTGTATATTTATTAGGATCTCAGCAGGAAATAGATGGTACACTCAATTTGGAATTATTGGGAAAGGGTTTAATAAGAGGATTATTGACAAAGGTGAAGCAGGACATTGGGAAAACAAAGAGCCCTATCCTCAGACCAGCAACAGTAATCGGTCCTCCAGGCTTGCAGGGACCAGGAGAGCGAGTGGTTAGCAGAGCCAGGAGGAGGGGGAAAGAAGCTGACTTTCAGGTGAGAAACTCTTCTCTCTCCTTCTTTCCAGCCAGAGTTTCCACTGACCAAACCTGTGCCAGGCGTTTTCTATCAAGTCCTTTAATTCTCACAAGTAGGTAGTGCTTTTAGCTGCGAATATTGTCATTCAGAAAAGTTAACTCCAAGTCAACTAGCCCAAAATCAGACAGCTCGCTGGTAGTCTGAGATTCAAACCCTCGCATAAAAAGCGAAACAAGCAAAAATTACCCCAGGGTCCTTTCCATTTTGTGAAAACCAGAGGAAACTGTTGATAAGTGCCTTTGGGCCTAGAGAGCTTTATTTGCCAAAGGTCCAAAAACAAGTTTGAATATAATGTTCTTTATGGAAAAATTATTTGAGGGGCAAGTGTTGTGCCTTCACCTGAAACACCAGCATTCCAGATAAGCACCAGTTTGAGTCCTGGCTGCTCCACTTCTGATCCAGCTCCTTGCTAACACAGGGAGAAAAGTACTGAAGATGGCACAAGCGTTTGTACCCCTGCTCCCACATGGGAGACCCTGGTGCAATTCTAGGCTCCTGGCTTCTACAGGAGTGGCCATGTGAGGAGTGAATGAATGGCTGAAAAATCCCCTCCCATTTCCCACCCCCACCTCATCTCTCCATCGCTGCCTGTAAATTTGCCTTTCAAATAAACAAATAAATAAATGAATCCCTTTAAAATTATTTGAGAGACAGAGGGGAAAAATACAAAGAACTCCTGTTAGATTCACCGCTAGCCAAAATTTTAGATTCGCCAACCACCAGGGAAAGAATAACTCAGCCAAATATATGAAAATAATTTAGATGGCCTTGATTTCAGGGAGCCACTGTCATGGGCTACCCTTCCCCATGCAGCAGACAGACAGATGTGAAGGAGTGGGCTGCACAGGAAGAGCACGGAAGAGACAGGGAAGGGGCTTTTAAACTCTCCTTGACAAGGAAACCGAAGGGGGAGGGGTTGCCTCATCCCTTATTGGTGGGGGGATATGGGTCTGTGTCCCTCACTGGTGAACGGTGGTCTTATGGCCCTATGAGTCCACCAGAATTCTGCCATCCGTTCTGGGTTTGGTTGCAGGCAAACTCCGCCCTTCTCTGGTTACCATGGTAGCCATCAGCTCCTACTCACTGGATATCCTCAAATATCCAAACAACCATTAGGGCTGGGCCAGAGTCAGAAGCCGATTTCGGCTCTGTGCAATGCCTGATTAGCTAATCCTCCCCCTTTAAGCTCTGGTATCCCATACTGGCACTGCTTTGCCTCTGGATGCTCCAATCTCCATCCAGCTCCCTGCTTGTGGCCCAGGAAAGCAGAGGAGAATGTCCCAAAGCCTTGGAACTCTGTACCCATGTGGGAGACCTGGAAGAAGCTTCTGGCTTCTGGCTTTGGGATCAGTTCAGCTCTGGCCATTGCAGCCATTTGGGGAGTGAAACAAAAGATGGAAGATTTTTGTCTCTCCTCTCTTTGGCTCTGTCTTTCCAATAAAAATAAGTAAATCTGAGAGAGAGAGAGAGAGAGAGAGAGAGGTCAGCTCTCCAACATGGGTGGCAGGGACCCAGGGACTTTTGATCAATTGCTGCTGCCTCCCACAGTTTGTGTGAGCAGAAAGTAGTGGCTACCATGGTAACCAGAGAAGGGCGGAGTTTGCCTGCAACCAAACCCAGAACGGATGGCAGAATTCTGGTGGACTCATAGGGCCATGAGACCACCGTTCACCAGTGAGGGACACAGACCCCTATCCCCCCACCAATAAGGGATGAGGCAACCCCTCCCCCCCTTCGGTTTCCTTGTCAAGAAGAGTTTAAAAGCCCCTTCCCTGTCTCTTCCGTGCTCTTCCTGTGCAGCCCACTCCTTCACATCTGTCTGTCTGCTGCATGGGGAAGGGAAGCCCATGACAGTGGTTCCCTGAAATCAAGGCCATCTAAATTCTTTTCATATATTTGGCTGAGTTATTCTTTCCCTGGTGGTTGGCGAATCTAAAATTTTGGCTAGCGGTGAATCTAACAGAAAGCCTGACTGGAAACTGGAGCTGGTACTGAACCTGGGTACTTTCCTGAGGAATGCAGATGTTTGCCACTAGGCTAGCCACCTGCCCTTCAACCTAAATCCAACCTTCCATGTAATTGCTCACTGACCTGCAAAAAGACAAAGACACATACACACATGTACACAGTGTGTCCACAGTGGTCTTGCCATTTCTCTACCTGCATTTGAATTTCATGATTGAGCTTTTGCATATGTTGTTTCCTCTGCCCTTGTTGTACTTCTTCCACCTCCTTGCCTGTTAAAATTGAATTCATCCTTTAAAGAACCATTAATATCTTCTCCATAAAGCCCCCAGTTGGGTTGAATCATGCCTTCTTCTATGATCTCATAGTGACTCATCAATACCTTTATAAAGGTATGTTTTTTCACTCAGCCTTCTGAAAACTTATTCACTGTTAGAGTGTGGGTAAAATGCTATTGTTGGGCAGTGTGAGGTTCCTTTGTGTAGAGAAAACTGCTACTTTGCCAGGCCAGGAGACGCCTGGACTTTGGGAGGATTCCACTTTAGTGATAAATCTGTTCTTTGCTGTCCTGCAACTTTGTGAACCCAGGTGCAGGGGGGCAAGGGCACAATTCTTCTCCGGTCCCAAAAACAAGAGAAAGAAGGGTGTGAGAATGGGATGAGCCATACAGATAATGGGTATGGGAACAGAACAGTCTGACTGTGCCTGAAGGCCATAAAAATGAACATGTCTAAAGTTGTTACTTTTAATGTATTTCCCAGCCCAAAAGAGCCTATATAAGTTTCTGTCTTGGGCTGTTCGGGGTCCAACCGCCCGCTTGGCTGGCCTGTGTGCCCCAAATGCGGTCTGACCCCAGCATGCTGGCGCAATAAACTCTGTTTGCTCTTTGCATTACCAGTGAGACTCTGTCGTTCTCTGGGGATTGACTAGCTCTCACCCTGACGTCCGGGGGCTTTAGCCCGGATTCTAACATCACATGCCTGAAAGTAGAAATGGTGGAGTATAATAAAACATAAGCTTTAGTGCCAGACAGACTGGCTTCAAACACTAGTTTCCTGCTTTCCTTGGGCAACGTCCTTGCCTTCCTTATCTGTAATGTGGAGATAAAAGCCCAATCAGTTGGGTTATTTGAACACAGAATAATATTCATATAAAAAACAATTTTAAAAATTATTTCTGATGTCCCTACCAGCACCACCACATACATACATACATTAACGTCAGCCAGGGAAGGTGCGAGTTAGAGACACCCAGAGTAAAATATTGCTCTGCATAAGAAGAAAAGAACAGCTGGGAGGAGGCTGCAGACAGAAATGGTGCAGGGAGGATTGAGACAAGACCTCTGATGTTCCCTGAAAAAAGGGAATCATATGGAGGACAGACTTGAAGGGAATCTTGCTGTGGGATGTGCAGCATACCCTTCCCTCTGACTTGATCCAGAAACACTCAGTGCAATCCACAGTCTCCTGCTGTGCTTTGGGAATTGGATGGGTGGCTATTTAAACATCAACAAGGGTGTAACTGGATTCAAGGTTAGATGGAGCTAAGGGAGGCCTCAGGGTGGATCTGATGCAGCCTTCAGAGCAGAGGACAGATGCTTAATGAGGACCATTTCCTGGGCTTCTTCCTGCACCTTTCTCTTCCTGAAGCAGAGCACGGGCCCCACTGCTCTAACTGCCTGGAGGAATGTCCACACCTGTGACTCCCTTCCCCCTTCCCCTTTTTGGAGAACTGGGGAATATGTCTGCATACTGTAGACTTAGTTAACACTGGCTTCTTCCCCTCTTTGGGGTCTATTTGTATTAACATTTAGCTTTAGGACTGCTGTGTGTGTGTGTGTTTTTAATAGCGTCGTACTGCAGGCGACATGTGGGGCTATTACATAAAAAGGATTCTTTTCCAGGTCAGTCTGAATCGTTCCAACAGCCACAGTGACTCTTACAGGAGGATCCTGTGAGGCTGACAGCTACCTGAGCACTTACCGAACATGATGTAATACTCTGATTCCGAATGCATATCCTCCTGGTTCAGAATGGCAGGAAAGAGTTTCACATACCCGCCACCACAATCGATGCCCTGCTCGTGTTTTACTGAAAACTGAACCACCAAGGTCTCGTTCACATTGTTGAATGGCTTAAACCTGGTCGAAAGGGCATAAAACTTGGCATCTTCAGTTGTCTGGAGACCTGGGAGGGGGGAGAGAGCATAGTCTTCATACATACCCAGAAAGCAACCAGATACACAGCATTTGGCCTAGCTTGACCCAAAGCTGCCCTGGTGTGTGCCAGGCACTGTGCTGGGAGCTTTATACATGCCTCCTGCACGCCACCAAGCAACCTTGTAAAATGAGTTTCCCATCCTAGCAACCAGGGAGATGAAATGATCAACATTGCGTACCTAGCTGGTCAAGCTAAGATTTTTTTTTTAAAGTTTATTTATGAAAGGCACAGAGAATGAGAGAAAGAGAGAGAGATCTGCTGGGCTCATTCCCCTAGTAGCCACAATGACCAGGGCTGGACCAAGATGAAGCCAGGAGATGGAAATCTAATCCAGGTCTCCCATGTGGGTAGCAGAAACCCAAGGATTTGCACCATCGCCTGCTGCCTCCCAGGACATATGCTTGTGTGAAACTGGAATCAGGAGCAGAAAGGGGCTTCAAATCCAATGCAGGATGCAGGTTCAAGACACTCAAGTGGCCAAACACCCATCCCTCCAAGCTCAGATGCTCAGCCACATGTGTTTGGTTTGTTTTTCTCCCTAGACCCTACTGTCTTTTATTCCCAAGAGACTGGTGACTTCTGTTCTGCAGCTTCACAAAGAAGCCCCCCAAGTGGCCAGAATGAGGCTGTGCTATGCACAAAGGTTTTTGCACAAAGAAGTTCTACACTGCCTCTTATAGATAATGGTTTGCCATGTGAGGTGCAACCCCAAGCCATCCACAGAATTCAGAGCTCCCACCTTCAACCATTCCACCTCTCCTATAGAAAGCATCAGGACTGTTGGGGATCTGAGGGCCTTTCTAGACTAGCTGCATCACTCTAGAGATGAAGAGACCAGGCTCCAGAGAGGGAAAGTTACTTAGGTCAGCTCATGCTGTCGCAAATGCAGTACACAAGCCAAGTCCTCAGTTTGCAATGAGGCACCTTTGTGTCTTTCTGTCTCAGGTCTTCATTGGCAACCTGTGGGTAATTATTTCTAATTCTAGGAATTCTAGTGAGGACCACTGAGGGGTAAGAGAGGTGACAAGTACTTTGGAAATCATCAGTGTGGAAAGTCACATGAAACATGCTGACTTGCTTGGAAGTCCTTGGATCTGATCCTGACAGTGCCTCCTGGACACTTACCACATGCCAGGGGTAAGTGCTTTCATGGGGGTCACTGTGTTAGAGCCGTCTACATTTTGAAGAGTATACTTAGTGCCCCAAAGATCTTAGAAGTGGAGGGGCATCCAGAGTAATCCTAAGGCTGCATGGGGGAGGAGTGGGTTCAAGGAAAAGATCCTAAAATTTATAGGCAGAACACTAAGCTTTGAGCCACTGTGCTGCTCAATTCAATACCCTTCTCCCCTTCCTGGACGCTCATTTGCACCCCACGACCCTACTAGACAGCCAAGCAGAATCTAATAAGCCCTAATGGGATGAGATGTGAGAGGCAACAACTAAGAAACAAAGCAGGGCTGAGCTGGGCCACAGCAGAGAGTACTTACAAAGGTCAGGGAGGCACAGGCCTCCCAGGGACTGCTCAGTCTCCAATTGTCTCTTCTCTGGAAACAATTTTCCAGAGTGGATTTAAATGAGATTCAAAGTGCTCAAGCCAGTTCATAATTCTCCCCCTTAATAAACATGAAAATCAGATTCATAACAGTAGCCAGGAGGGAGAAGACGGGAAATCACTCCAGGGGGACCATCAGTGGATTCTATTTATAGGACAAAAGCTTTCTCAGGCAAAGAAAAAAAAAAAAAAAGAAATAAAAGGTGCCAGCAGCAGCCAAGACTAATGGTAGGCCATGACTGTTACCTCCATCTAATATCAAGGCTCAAATGATAGAAGATTTGCTCAAATGACGCAGCAAGGAATCACAGGAGTCAGCCCTAGGTTTATCTGCTACGTTGCCCACCCCACTACGCTGTTTTAGGGCAGAGAAATATCTATGTTTTCTACAGTGCTTTCCTCTGCTTCAGGCAGAGTGATCTTTGAAAAACCCTGGGGGACTGGGAAAAGCAGCACAGGTAATGGTAATGAAGACAGTCCCTGGAGTCAGATCCAGGATCAGATCTCAGCCCCACCACTTTGCCAGCTGCATATACAGCCTTGGGCAAGCAGCTCAGGCTCTCTGAGATGTTCCTGTAAAACTGAGAAATTAACAATAATCACCTCGCCGAGTGGCTGTGGAGATTAAGGCAGGCATGTCTGTAAGATGCCTGTTATTCAACAAATAGATATTATTTTTGCAGGAGGGGTTTATTTTTTTTTCTCTCTGTACATTTTTTTTGATTTTTTAAGAAAAAGAATTGTAGATAAAAGACAATCGCACAAAAAGAACATTTTTCTAATTAATTAGTGTATTCCTAAGTCCTCAGCGTGTACCTTTGTCTTTTTCTTTGTCTCCATAAAATTTTCCTGCAGCGAGCTGAAATTTACCATAATCCGGTTGATGTTTAGATTCCACCCATCGCTTCTTCCATCCATCTAAAAGATAAAGGAGAAAACAACAATACAAAGAAAGTACTTGTTTTCTTAAAGACCGTAAGATCCTGCTCATGCTGGGACTTAGCAGAATGGCAAGGGTGTGTTGGGGAATGGCTACACATTTCCTGAGATCCTTCGCATGTGCAGCACCTTCCTGTCTCTACTCCTAGGTGGATTGGTTTAAATACCAAATAGTTGAGCCATTGGTAAGTTACTGCCCTGCCCTATCCTCTTACATGACAGTTAAATCTTAAATATCATTATGAGACTGTGGTTGAAATGCATGAATCATTTATTCTTGTAAAAGTAGATGGTGGAGCCCGTGTTGTGTTACAGCCAGGGAAGCCATTGTGGTGCCAGTGGTCCCCATATGAGCCCTGATCTCCTCCGTTTCCAGATCCCTGCTAACACGCCTCAGAAAGCAGCAGATGGCCCAAGTGTTTGCTGCACCTATGTGACAGATCCAATGGAGTTCCAGTCTCCTGGCTTCAGCATAGCCCAGCCCTGGTCATTGGAGCCATTTGGAGAATGAATCAGCAGATGGAAGATCTCTGTCCTCCCTGTCTCTCCTTCTCTCCCTGTGACTGTGCCTTTCAGACAAATAATTATATTTTTACTTTTTAAAAAGATGAAAAAATGCTAAGTCCTTATGCATATGTATGCTTAGTATAGTAAAATAATCAACTCAGCACACTGAAACATTAACGATATCATTTTATACTCCTTGAATTAGTAATGATGAGAATCAATTTCCATTTACCTTCTTGTTGCTTAAATTTTTTAGACCCTTCCTTGCAGTTTCAAGGAGATACTAATAAATCCATGATGTCTTGTCATAGATGGCGTGTAGACAAAGAAGTATTCTTCTTGGAGCTGGTTCTCCATCCTGTGCCTTTCTGATTGTAGGTCCAGTGTGGCTGACTTCTAATTCCTGGACCCGCCAGGATCCCAGCATCCCAGGGAGATTGGGCAGAAGTGACCTTGAGGGTGGCCTTCATTTCATCTCCTCTCTCAAGCTAAACGAACACTTCTCCAATCCCACAGCCTCATCTCTAAGGTTATTGCTCTAGCGCCTTCCATAAAACCCTGTTATTAACACACATCCAATAAAAGGACCCTGTGCTGCTGGGTCAGCTCCTATTTCTTGAGTCTGGTGACTCAGCTATCTTTCATCATGAGACCCAGGGGATTTGGGCTTGCGTTGGAAGGAGTTGAGAATACGCCCCAAAATATGCTGCTCTCAAAATAGCAACTGTCACTCTGACCTTCATTCTGGCTGTTCAAAGTAAGGATTGGAATGTTCATGTGAGAGATGTCTTCTTTATATCCAAAAAGAAAAATACAGTCTTTTATTTTTTTTTTCTTAAAGTAACATTTTTTTACTTTTTTTTTTTTTTTTTTAGATTTGGTTTATGTATTTGAAACGCATATAAAGAGAGCAGTCTCCATTTGGGTTTATTCTCCAAATACCTGCAACAGATGGAGCTGGGCCTGGCTGGGGACTATGACTCAATTTAGGTCCCCAGCAGGGGTGACAGGGACCCCAGTTAGTACCTGAAACATCACGTGTTGCCTCCCAGGGAGTATATTACTTAGCTGCCATACCAAATGCTTGCCTCTGTAAATTGTATTTCTTTTATCAGGGACAGAAAAAGGAAGCCAAGGGAGAGTTATATAAACAGATTTTGTTATATATGAACCTTTTTCTTCCTGGTCACTTCTCTTCCCAATTAACCAACCTTGCTCAAGCCCCTTTGCCTTGTCACATTCCAGCTTCTTCTCTCTCTGACTTTAATGTAAAAAAACTGACTCTAGGTGCTTCCTCGAGTCTTCATTTCACTATGAGGGATCTCACATATAGTATTTTTCTCCCTAAAATTCATGCAGCTGTTTAATTTTGGCTGTTAATGGTAACAGTTGATGGTTTAAGAGTGGAAACTTGCTCTGAGGATGACATCAGAGAGGTGGGGCCAATGGGAGGAGATGGGGTGGTTGGAAGCTTGCCCTCAGACAGTGACTCTCTAGAGAGAGTTGATGATTTGAGTCAAAAGTTCAGCCTGGGGGCTGGGCAGTGCTATAACATGCTAATCCTTAGCCTGCAGAACCAGCATCCTAGAAGTTCCCAGCTCCCAGCTTGGAGTGGCTCAGCTCTGGCTTTTGCAGCCATTTGGGAAGTGAATCAGAGAAGGAAGACTTTTCTGTGTGTATCTCTTCCTCTCTCTCTCTGTAACTCTGACTTTCAAGTAAAATAAGTGCTTAAAAAGAAAATCTGCCTTGTGTCAATTGAAATCTTAAGCCTAACTGAAAAAAAAAAAATGTAAAAGGGTGAAGTAAAATTTTGCCTACCTAATCTTTTCTGAGCTCTTCCTCCCCGCTCCCCGACTCAAGGTCTCAGTATTGGGCACACAAGGACATCTGGATGCCCACCTTGCTTATTTGCTCCTTTAAGAGGGGTCCCGGAAGTTCCCTTCTATCTAATGCTGTGGCTTGAATGAGGCAGACCCAGCCTCCCTGACCACCGTGGCCCAGTGAGGCAATGGACCAGGTATCAAAGTCAGAAAAGGCAAGCTTATGAGACCCTCGTGTAGCTCCCCTAAAACTATACCTCATTTCCTCCCATTGATAGTGCTGTAAGACAGCTAGCATTAGTTCCATGTTGTGTCTAGTGAGTGGTGGACCTGAGATATGAATTCAAATCGGCTGGATTTCTTAATTACCTTTCCTTGGAAAGAATTGGAATATGCCATGTAAAATACTGTATAGGGAAAAAGTGCATAGCAATAAAATATCTACTATTTAGCAAGTGTGTGTCACTCATTGAACCCAGTTCTTTACAATGATGATCTCAATGCATTCTCTTAATATTATTAGGCTGCGATGAACATTCCTTTCAAAAGACAAGGAAGCTAGAGTTCAGCATCTGAGATCTCAATTTGTAAATAAATGAGCAAACAGGCTCAGACCCAGGTCTCCATAGCACCAAAATTTGTACTTTTAATTCTTATACATTTGATGTTCCAAGAGGCCACATGTGTGAAAAACCCTTTATTACCTTTATTACAGAAGTGCATATAAACCCTTTATTACAGAAGTGCAGCACTTTACAGTTGGTAGCTTATACTCAGTCAGTAACTTGAGTAATGTAGGTCTTCCCAACCAAAATGGCAAGTTTCTCAACTGTTTCCCTGAGCAATGTACTCCAGTATTAAGCCCATAATAAATCATCAAAATTTTTGTTCAATAATTGAGTGCATGAAGAATCCCGCCTTTGTCTGAGCCGTGAGAATCTCAACTTTACAGATGGATTGACACACCAGTTCATCTGTTTGACAAATTAGGACCAAGCATGTAAAAACAACTGTGCAACTTCAGCCTTGAACTCGGGACTCCTCACTACTAATTTTTTTCCTGGTGAACAGTATTGATGCAAACCATGCATAACATAATTTAGGGTGTCTCAAACAAGGAGCCCCTCTTGTTAGGAAAATAATGTCATGTAATTAATACATTTGCTCTTAGCCAAAAGGCTGAGAAGTAATGCTGCTGTGCAATTAACCAAGTCCCACTTTTTAAGAAATTGTTATATGAAAGGCAGAGTTACAGAGAGGAGAGAGAGAGAGAGGAGAGAGATCTGCTATCCCCTGGTTCACTCCCCAAAACCTAAATGGCTACTAGAGCCAATAACTAAGTCTTTCTGAAGCCGGGAGCCAGGAGCTTCCTCTGGCTCTCCCACATGAGTACAGGGCACAAAGACTTGTGCCATCCTCTCTTCCCACTTTATAAGCAGGGAGCTGCATTGGAAGTGAAGCAATTGGAATAGGATCTGCTGCCCACATGGGATGCTGGTGCCATAGGCAGAAGCTTAGCTTATTGTGTCATGTCGCTGGCCTCATAAAGTCCCACTTGATTTCATGTGTTTCCTCTTAACATCATAACAACATAAAAGATCAAAACCAGAGTGACTCTTGGTGATCCCACAATCTGATTTCCTTCTGTTCCAGATGGGGGAATTGAAGCCCCAGAAGAGGAAACAATCTATTCAAGGACACATGGTTCTTAGCAGTCAATCCCATTCTACAATTAAGTTCATCTGCACTGTGTCTCTAGGCTTTTATTTCTTCATTCAATTAGCATTTGAACATTCACTCTGTGCCAGCAACAGACACAAACCTGACAAGATCCTTTGTGGATTTAGGAGCTTCGTGGAGTTCAAAGTCTGGTGGAGGAGAGGCACAGACAAACAGCTGAAGAGCAAATGAATCTAACAGCAGTGTGGTAAGTAAGAACAGTAGTGACAGAAGGAAGCACAGGGCAGTGAAATTTCAAACAGCACTGACTACACAGAAGAAGTAAGAAATAAATACCAGGAGAAATAAAACTTGAAAACATAGAGTGTTCCAAACAGAACAATCTGCAGGTGCAAAGGCCCAGAGGCTTAAAACAGCATTGTGTTTCAGGGAGCCTGCAACAGGTGATGTGTGGTTTTTCAGAATAGAGGAAACAAGGGGAAGACCAAGGAGAGTTCATTAATTGGGAGGAATAATATAGGTTAACCTGGGTTGAGTGTTACCATGTCATCTCCCCTTTCCTTCAAATTAACCAGCCAGCTATAGGTCCGCAGAGATGCACATCAAAAAGGGCCACATGTATAGAAGCTAGTATCTCTTGTTGATAAGGGCACATGTTACATTCCAGTGGTAGAGATATGGAGCCAAGGAAGCCATATAACCATGATTCCCTGGTCAAATGAGCTTATTTCCATATCTGCACCTTCCACTATGCCTGGCTTCTCACAGACTTCAAATCAGAAGACTGAGCTAGGGATCCATCACTGCCACCAGTTCTAGTAGTGATTTTTAACTCCACTGAACTGTTTCCTCACCTGTCCAAAGGGGTTACCCAGAGGCTGACATTGTAGTGTTATCGGGGTAGGCTGCTGCCTCTTCAACACTAGCATCCCATATGAGTACATGTTTGAGGCCTGGCTGCTCTGCTTCTGA